TTTCCCAGGTAGAGAACATCAGTTGTGCTTGGTAAGATAAGTCAATGATTAAGTCTAGTAGTGCCATGCTGAGTACCTGATATCAGATACTGGTCTTAAGTGGCCTGCTGAAGAGAATATAGGGTTTTTATTTATTTTATTTTATTTCACCTTTATTTAACCAGGTAAGCCAGTTGAGAACAAGTTCTCATTTACAACTGCCACCTGGCCAAGATAAAGCAAAGCAGTGCGATAAAAACAACAACACAGAGTTACATATGGGGTAAAACAAAACATAAAGTCAAAAATACAACAGAAAAAATATATACAGTGTGTGCAAATGTAGCAAGTTATGGAGGTAAGGCAATAAATAGGCAATAGTGCAAAATAATTACAATTAGTATTAACACTGGAATGATAGATGTGCAAATAGAGATACTGGCGTGCAAATGAGCAAAATAAATAACAATATGGGGATGAGGTAGTTGGGTGGGCTAAATTCAGATGGGCTGTGTACAGGTGCAGTGATCGGTAAGGTGCTCTGACAACTGATGCTTAAAGTTAGTGAGGGAGATAAGAGTCTCCAGCTTCAGATATTTTTGCAGTTCGTTCCAGTCATTGGCAGCAGAGAACTGGAAGGAATGGCGGCCAAAGGAGGTGTTGGCTTTGGGGATGACCAGTGAGATATACCTGCTGGAGCGCATACTACGGGTGGGTGTTGCTATGGTGACCAATGAGCTAAGATAAGGCGGGGATTTGCTTAGCAGTGATTTATAGATGGCCTGGAGCCAGTGGGTTTGGCGACGAATATGTAGTGAGGACCAGCCAACAAGAGCGTACAGGTCACAGTGGTGGATAGTATATGGGGCTTTGGTGACAAAACGGATGGCACTGTGATAGACTACATCCAATTTGCTGAGTACAGTGTTTGAGGCTATTTTGTAAATGACATCGCCGAAGTCAAGGATCGGTAGGATAGTCAGTTTTACGAGGGCATGTTTGGCAGCATGAGTGAAGGAGGCTTTGTTGCGAAATAGGAAGCCGAGTCTAGATTTAACTTTGGATTGGTGATGCTTAAATGAGTCTGGAAGGAGAGTTTACAGTCTAACCAGACACCTAGGTATATTTGTAGTTGTCCACATACTCTAGGTCAGACCCGTCGAGAGTAGTGATTCTAGTCGGGTGGGCGGGTGCCAGCAGCGTTCGATTGAAGAGCATGCATTTAGTTTTACTAGTGTTTAAGAGCAGTTGGAGGTTACTGAAGGAGTGTTGTATGGCATTGAAGCTCGTTTGGAGGTTTGTTAACACAGTGTCAAATGAAGGGCCAGATGTATCAAAATGGTGTCGTCTGCGTAGAGGTGGATCTGAGAGTCAGTATCAGCTGTCTAGGGACACTACCATGGTCAGGGCTAGTATCAGCTGTCTAGGGACACTACCATGGTCAGGATTAGTATCAGCTGTCTAGGGACACTACCATGGTCAGGGCTAGTATCAGCTGTCTAGGGACACTACCATGGTCAGGGCTAGTATCAGCTGTCTAGGGACACTACCATGGTCAGGGCTAGTATCAGCTGTCTAGGGACACTACCATGGTCAGGGCTAGTATCAGCTGTCTAGGGACACTACCATGGTCAGGGCTAGTATCAGCTGTCTAAGGACACTACCATGGTCAGGGCTAGTATCAGCTGTCTAAGGACACTACGATGGTCAGGGCTAGTATCAGCTGTCTAGGGACACTACGATGGTCAGGGCTAGTATCAGCTGTCTAGGGACACTACCATGGTCAGGGCTAGTATCAGCTGTCTAGGGACACTACCATGGTCAGGGCTAGTATCAGCTGTCTAGGGACACTACCATGGTCAGGGCTAGTATCAGCTGTCTAGGGACACTACCATGGTCAGGGCTAGTATCAGCTGTCTAAGGACACTACCATGGTCAGGGCTAGTATCAGCTGTCTAAGGACACTACCATGGTCAGGGCTAGTATCAGCTGTCTAAGGACACTACCATGGTCAGGGCTAGTATCAGCTGTCTAAGGACACTACCATGGTCAGGGCTAGTATCAGCTGTCTAGGGACACTACCATGGTCAGGGCTAGTATCAGCTGTCTAGGGACACTACCATGGTCAGGGCTAGTATCAGCTGTCTAGGGACACTTAACATGGTCAAGGCTATATTCACACTTCAAAGAACACAATATTTATGGGACTCCTGGAGATGGATCAAGGGAAGGAAAGAAAGCCGATCACACTTGTCTGTAATACATTGCCATGGCCTATATACACTACATGACAAAACGTATGTGGACACCTGCTCGTCGAACATCTCATTCCAAAGTCATGGGCATTAACATGGAGTTGGTGCCCTCTTTGCTGCTATAAAAGCCTCCATTCTTCTGGGAAGGCTTTCCACTAGATGTTGGAACATTGCTGCGGGGACTTGCTTCCATTCAGCCACAAGAGCATTAGTGAGGTCGGGCACTGATGTTAGGCGATTAGGCCTGACTCGCAGTCGGCGTTCCAATTCATCCCAAAGGTGTTCGATGGGGTTCAGGTCAGGGCTCTGTGCAGGCCAGTCAAGTTCTTCCACACCGATCTCGACAAACCATTTCTGTATGGACCTCGCTTTGTGTACGGGGGCATTGTCATGCTGAAACAGGAAAGGGCCTTCCCCAAACTGTTGCCACTAAGTTGGAAGCACAGAATCGTCTAGAATGTATGTAGCGTTAAGATTTCCCTTCACTGGAACTAAGGGGCCTAGCCCGAACCATGAAAAACAGCCCCAGACCATTATTCCTCCTCCACCAAACTTTACAGTTGTCACTATGCATTGGGGCAGGTATCGTTCTCCTGGCATCTGCCAAACCTAGATTTGTCCGTCAGACTGCCAAATGGTGAAGCATGATTTATCACTCCAGACAACACGTTTCCACTGCTCCAGAGTCCAATGGCGGCAAGCTTTACACCACTCCAGCTGAAGCTTGGCATTGCGTTTGGTGATCTTAGGCTTGTGTGCGACTGCTCGGCTATGGAAACTAATTTCATGAAGCTCCCGACGAACAGTTCTTGTGCTGACTTTGCTTCCAGAGGCAGTTTGGAACTTGGTAGTGAGTGTTGAAACCGAGGACAGACCTTTTTTATGAGCTACGCGCTTCAGCACTCGGTGGTCCCGTTCTGTGAGCTTGTGTGGCCTACCACTTCGCGGCTGAGCCGTTGTTGCTCCTAGACGTTTCCACTTCACAATAACAGCACTTACAGTTGACCGTGGCAGCTCTAGCAGGGCAGACATTTGTTGAACTGACTTGTCGGAAAGGTGGTATCCTATGACAGTGCCACGTTGAAGGTCACTGAGCTCTTCAGTAAGGCCATTCTACTGCCAATGTTTGTCTATGGAGATTGCATGGCTGTGTGCTCGATTTTATACAGCAACAGGTGTGGCTGAATTGCCGAATCCACTAATTTGAAGGAGTGTCCACATACTTTTGTGTATATATATATATATATATATATATATATATATATATATATACAGGATCTCACAAAAGTGAGTACACCCCTCACATTTTTGTAAATATTTGAGTATATATTTTCATGTCACAACACTGAAGAAATGACACTTTGCTACAATGTAAAGTAGTGAGTGTACAGCTTGTATAACAGTGTAAATTTGCTGTCCCCTCAAAATAACTCAACACACAGCCATTAATGTCTAAACCGCTGGCAACAAAAGTGAGTACACCCCTAAGTGAAAATGTCCAAATTGGGCCCAATTAGCCATTTTCCCTCCCCGGTGTCATGTGACTCGTTAGTGTTACAAGGTCTCAGGTGTGAATGGGGAGCAAGTGTGTTAAATTTGGTGTCATCGCTCTCACACTCCCTCATACTGGTCACTGGAAGTTCAACATGGCACCTCATGGCAAAGAACTCTCTGAGGATCTGAAAAAAATAATTGTTGCTCTACATAAAGATGGCCTGGGCTATAAGAAGATTGCCAAGACCCTGAAACTGAGCTGCAGCACGGTGGCCAAGACCATACAGCGGTTTAACAGGACAGGTTCCACTCAGAACAGGCCTCGCTATGGTCGACCAAAGAAGTTGAGTGCACGTGCTCAGCGTCATATCCAGAGGTTGTCTTTGGGAAATAGACGTATGAGTGCTGCCAGCATTGCTGCAGAGGTTGAAGGGGTGGGGGGTCAGCCTGTCAGTGCTCAGACCATACGCCGCACACTGCATCAAATGTGATGGACTGGCAAAGCATGTCTCCAGACCTAAGCCCTATGGAGCATCTGTGGGGCATCCTCAAATGGAAGGTGGAGGAGTGCAAGGTCTCTAACATCCACCAGCTCCGTGATGTCGTCATGGAGGAGTGGAAGAGGACTCCAGTGGCAACCTGTGAAGCTCTGGTGAACTCCATGCCCAAGAGGGTTAAGGCAGTGCTGGAAAATGATGGTGGCTACACAAAATATTGACACTTTGGGCCCAATTTTGACATTTTCACTTAGGGGTGTACTCACTTTTGTTGCCAGCGGTTTAGACAATAATGGCTGTGTGTTGTGTTATTTTGAGGGGACAGCACATTTACACTGTTATACAAGCTGTACACTCATTACTTTACATTGTAGCAAAGTGTAATTTCTTCAGTGTTATACTCAAATATTTACAAAAATGTGAGGGGTGTACTCACTTTTGTGAGATACTGTGTGTGTGTGTGTGTGTGTGTGTGTGTGTATATATATATATATATATATATATATATATATGTATGTATGTATGTATGTATGTATGTATGTATGTATGTATGTATGTATGTATGTATGTATGTATGTATGTATGTATGTATGTGTATTTAATGAATTAAATATTGTATTCCATTTGATATACTGTAATACCAGACTGATCTAGAAGCTACTGTACTGTGAAGGACTGACAGCCAGCCATCAAAAGGTTTTCCCCCTTCTTTTCATTGGCTATGTGTATATTTGTTTCCCGAATCCCTCCCTTCTCATTGGCTGAAATCTGAAACATGTACAGGAAACACAAGAACAGCATGGGCCCCACCAAGGTGGTGTCGTCGTCTGTGCCGCGCCGGAACATGGTGGGCTGTCGTATCCAGCACATCTGGAAGGAGGGGAGCACTGCGTCTCAGTCGCTGTGGAAAGGCATGGTGCTGGACCAGGTGCCCGTCAACCCCTCGCTCTACCTCATCAAGTACGACGGCTTCGACTGTGTCTATGGCCTGGAGCTACATAAAGATGAGAGGGTGCAGGGACTTGAGGTGCTGCCTGACCGTCAAGGTATGGCCTTGGTCTATAGTGCATTCGGACAGTATTCAGATCCCTTGACTTTTTCCACATTTTGTAGCGTTACAGCCTTATTCTAAAATTGATTCATTTGTTTTTTTCCCTCATCAATCTACACACAATACCCCATAATGACAAAGCAAAAACAGGTTTTTATAATTTTTTGCTAATTTGTTCATCTTTCCCTCGATCCTGACTAGTCTCCCAGTCCCTGCCGCTGAAAAACATCCCCACAGCATGATGCTGTCACTACCATGCTTCACCGTAGGGATGGTGCCAGATTTCCTCCAGATTTGGCATTCAGGCCAAAGAGTTCAATCTTGGTTTCATCAGACCAGAGAATCTTGTTTCTCATGGTCTGAGAGTCCTTTAGGTGCCTTTTGGCAAACTCCAAGCGGACAGTCGTGCATTTTACTGAGGAGTGGCTTCCGTCTGGCACCTCTACCATAAAGGCCTAATTGGTGGAGTGCTGCAGAGATGGTTATCCTTCTGGAAGGTTCTCCATCTCCACAGAGGAACTCTGGAGCTCTGTCAGAGTGACCATCGGGTTCTTGGTTCAGCTCTAGGAAGAGTATTGGTGGTTCCAAACTTCTTCCATTTAAGAATGATGGAGGCCACTGTGTTCTTGGACCTTCAATGCTGCAGACATGTTTTGGTACCCTTCTCCAGATCTGTGCCTCGACACAATCCTGTCTCGGAACTCTACGGACAATTCCTTCGACCTCATGGCTTGGTTTTTGCTCTGACATGCACTGTCAACTGTGGGACCTTTATATAGACAGGTGTGTGCCTTTCCAAATCATGTCCAATCAATTGAATTTACTACAGGTGGACTCAAATCCAGTTGTAGAAACATCTCAAGGATGATCAATGGAAACAGTATGCACCTGAGCTCAATTTCGAGTCTCATAGCGAAGGGTCTGAATACTTATGTAAATAAGGTATTTCTGTTCTTAATTTTTAATACATTTGCTAACATTCCTAAAAACCTTTTTTTGCTTTGTCATTATGGAGAATTGTGTGTAAATTGATGAGGGAAAAATATATTTTAATCCATTTTAGAATAAGGCTGTAACGTAACAAAATGTGGAAAAAGTCAAGGGGCGTTAACATTGTTATCTCAACATATTGATTTACTGACAAGTGATCACACAATGCAAATAAACCACTACCACAGACAAGCTTCTTTTTGTGCTGTAATGGTATTCTATGGTCATAGGTAAAAGTCTGTAAGCCGTGCTAGAAATATGAATTGTAATTGAAGTGATCGTTGACATCACTTACCAACCATATACTCTCCCTGTCCCATGTTTTTGTTGACCTGTCACAGCCTCCTCGCGCGCCAGCGACGTCAACCTGGCCGACACAATGATAGGGAAGGCTGTGGAGCACATGTTTGAGACGGAGGACGGGACTAAAGATGAATGGAGGGGCATGGTCCTGGCCCGAGCCCCCATCATGAACACCTGGTTCTTCATCACCTACGAGAAAGACCCCGTTCTGTACATGTACCAGCTCCTAGACGACTACAAGGAAGGAGACCTGAGGATCATGCCTGACTCCAGTGAGTACGGTAACACTTTGGTTAAAGCCGACAGCATGTATGAGACTCTCTGTCTTATTACAAGGCTTATAATATGTTATGCAGGTATGGTAATACTAAAAGCTGAGAGGTAAACAGATCTCTCCAGCCAACTATAGTGTTCTTATAGCGAAATGCTAAGCAGTGTAGAACAAATCCGAAAGTGAAAATGTATAAAATACTAAGCAGTGTAGACCTAATCCCAATGTGAAAATCATCCGGGAATGCAGATTGGAGACTCCATTTTATAGCCTCCATCTTTCCGTAGCCTATTCAAAATTGATTTTTAATTTGAAGCTTGCTGCTGGTCAAACAGGCTATATATAGCCTACCTTTTAGTCTAAATACATTTTTATCAAATCCGTTAAATAGGCAAAATGTTGATGTTGCACAGTGCACACAGTGACATAATACAGAATATTAGGTAGACAAAACTGAATTATGTGCGCTGCTCTGTCTGGCAGGCGATCATCATAATCATCACATTAAAATATTATCCAACAGAAATAAAGAAAACATTTCAGAGAACCTCATAACATTCTCCATCTACCTATAGTGATGCCATTATGAAAATACTAAGCTGTAGACCACACAAATCCATTATTTTAGATACCACAGAAAATACACTGCCAGACGAGTCAAAACAATTTTGCTGGCTTGCGCGGCAATAAAGCAGCATTTTATAAATATGCCAACCATACTTGGACCCGGCCCTCTCTCATCTCTGACATGTTTCGGTCGGATTTGGTACACCTGAGATCCAAATCGGGTAGGATATTGACTTTCAAAAAAAAATTGCGGGTCCTGTTAGGGTCAGGTGGGAGGTTTGCAGGTCCAATTCAGTTCGGGTCTCATTTTCGGGACCCGAGAAGACCTCTCCTCTGTACTGTCGGGTTGGGAAGGCTTTTCTTCATAATAACAATAGCCTACTCTTTGATGTTCTCCCTTAATGATTAAAGCTGTCTTCATTGTTATGGTAAACTTACTTTACATAGTCCTCTTTATTCCTATGGGGAACAAACTATCAAGCTTCCACCAGAGAGCGCCGCTGATGCCTACCTTCTGCTAGTCTAGGGATTAATTTAACCTGACATTGACAGGCCACAATAAACCTGTTCATGTGTTGTTTCTGTGTTGTCTCTCCCAGATGATTCTCTGCCTGTTGATTTTATCTCAATTGGACTAACCTGGTTATATAAAGGTAAATAAATAAATTGGTAAACTTATGTGTTTTCTTCTCTCCCAGATGACACTCCGCCTGCGGAGCGGGAGCCAGGGGAGGTAGTGGACAGTCTGGTGGGGAAACAGGTGGAGTACGCTAAGGAGGACGGCTCCAAACGAACTGGCATGGTCATCCACCAGGTGGAGGCCAAACCCTCAGTCTACTTCATCAAGTTCGACGACGACTTCCACATCTATGTCTACGACCTTGTCAAGACTTCCTAAGGCGACCTTTTACCCTTGACCTTTTCACACTACTGAGCCGAATCGAGCTGTACTGGGCTGGCCTGGATACACGTAAATCCACCATAGCTGAAAATACTATGCGAAAATATGTTAGAGGTGGTACAGTTTGGTTGAGGTCGGCACGGTACGGTGAAAAGGGCACTGGGTCGCTGGGCCTCTGGGCCTAGAGGACAGGAGGTCTGTCTGGGGAGTTAATGATGGATGCGGAAGGTGGAGAAACTCCGCCATACAGGAAAGACGATGGTCAACACCACCATCACCACATGGAACCTTACCTTATCCACCAACGTTTCCTAAATGTATCTTGAAGGTTTCGTGCAACAACCTCTTTGAGATGCGACAGACAGACAGCTAGATTGGATATTTCACTGAAGCCTTTGGATTGCTACTAAAGCATCTAGTGTTCTAGAATCTAGTCAGAGGAGAGAGAGAGGGGGAGTCACTGTGCAACTGAGTTATTGGCCACTTAACTTGTAAAGGTGAGAATACTATTTGTTTCTGCAACTAGCTATCCCCCTATCAGCGTAAAGGTCTTAAGGAGATGTTACATCGATCCCTTTGTAAGGGAAGGGACTGGGAAAAGATATCAGCGTTATTTGAACACTGCGTATTAAGTGCGACCTTTAAAGTTAATTGGGTTCTCATTGGATTTTTTAAAAGATTTGATGACCAAACCAGTGATGGTAATGTTTCTCCTATTATATGTGTGTGAGCTCTGTGTTGTAATTTTGACCGATTTTACATGCATTTCTGGAGTCCCGTTATCTAACAGTAAGAGGACAGTAACTATGGGTTTGTTTTCATCTCGGAGAATCATTCAATTCTTGACTATATTTGTTTGTTTGTAATGTTAAAAGATACACGACAACGTATGCAGTGAGCAAAGGCATTTGTTGAAGTTTTGAGAGGGAGATGAGCATTCTTTTCATTTAAATGTTTCTTAGTTTTTTCCAAGAACTTGTTCATGTATATTCATATATAATGATAGTTAAATACTGATGCCGATATTTGCAGTTTTATCGCAAGCACTAATTTCAAAGAATCTACTCAGAAAACATTTACGCAGTTGTCTTTATACGTTTTGCCTTTAATGATAATTATATGTTGATCATCTCAACAAACACTATTCAGAATGGTTGACCAGTGAGAACGTTAATCTGTAGTCCTGAGACTGAGTTTGTTCATTAGGCCTTGCCAAAGCCCTCAACCCTTATCATTCATTATCCAATCATAATAACAGCTATAATTATTCCGATAATAATTATGTTTGTTATTATCGTTCCTGCATTCATATGTTTACATTTTTTGGGGGGGGGAATCAAACACGGTTTCTATTTTAGTTTAATTTTTACTTTCATTGTTATATGTTATTTAGAGACCTCTTCTTCACCTCTGTCTTTGTTAAACACACTTTCTCTTTAATTGTCATAGTAACCTTTTAGTAAACTGTTTTATCACGACTTTAAAAAAATAAAGACAGTATGGTGAAAGCACTGCAAAGTAAGCAAAGTATTTAGAAAGTAAAACTCCATACCAGCTCCTCAAAAGTGTTCTAAATTCAGCTGTACCACTACAACAATACTAAAGTGTTTCTCAACTTTTACATTTACATCATTTAGCAGACACTCTTATCCAGAGCGACTTACAAATTGGTGCATTCAACTTATGATAGCCAGTGGGACAACCACTTTTTTTTTTATGGGGGGTGGGGGAAGAATAATTACTTTATACTATTCCAGGTATAAAAATCTTCACACAACTGTTAATTCACAATAAGTATTCAAAACTTTAAATGCAACACCCACTTTTATAGAGTGCATGTGATATTGTACTCAAGGAAAGGTTACTAGCCTGAATTAGATTTTTATTTGCCTTATTTTGTTGAGATGAGCTGTTTCCCGCCATTATTTAAAGCCTATAACAATTTAGTTTAAATGTAATAGCAGTTTCTAGCTTTCTCTGTGTGTGGGGTGGGCGTGTGACAAAACAACATTCCCCAGATGCCCCTAGTAGGCCCCTTTGGAATGTTACAACGGTTGTCAGAGAAACAGTGGGCTACTGAGCACTCTAGAACCTCTGACATACAGATGTTGTTAATTACTGTAGTAATGTTTAGTGTTCATGTGACTGTAACCTCCCTCTACACTCCTCTGCCTTGCTACTCTTTCTCCATGCCCTCCTTGACCTTTAGCAGTGTTTATGCCCAGTCTCTGAATAGGTAGTATAGTACTGTTCTTTTCAGTAGCCTGTGTAGTAGCAGAACGGATGTGCCGTTGTGACTGATTTGAGATTAGAGAAACCACTGCATCTTCAGCTGAAGTGCCTGCAGAGACATATAAAGCCCATGAGTTATTTTTTTAAAACATTTTAAAACAGTTTTTCTTTCTTTGAAAGAGTACTGTCAACTCCCTTGATGACTAACTGATCGCTATACACAGAGTATGACTGAATGGTAGCTTTAGAGATGAATGAGATTATGTGCATCGGTTATAATGAGGCTCATAATTTGAAGACCCCATAACGTACCGTATAAACCCCTCTGTATCTAAGAAGATAAACACAAGTATCGTATGTATCCTGTTGTATCCCAAACCGCAAACTGACTTGTGTTTTATGCAAGTTGTCGCCTTCAGAAAATAATCGGAAAAGTGTTTGATGGATTGGCATTTCACACTGTTTGATGTCGGTTTATTTTGGGATATATAAAAAAAGAGAATAGGAAAACAGTCCGTTCTTTTTGCATGAGTAGCGAAAACAGTAGAGCTGTAAGTGGAAGTTAGTGTCGTTTTTATTGAACTTTTTCTAGGAGGTTATGTTCAGTGTGTTGCCTATTGTGACGCTACTTTTTTTATTTCAGAAAAACAAAGTAATTCTTTGTATTACATTTTAGACTCTGTTCCTCTATAGGATGAAACTCACTGGGGTTGTATGTGGGGCCAATAGAAAGGCCACATGGTGCCAGTGTTACACAGCATTTGAGGGATCATGTCTTTCACATACAATACCGATGTTGTCCGAAAATACTTTTTATATGCATCTCTTTTGAGTGCCACAAGGAAAACATGAACTCAAAGAAAAAGGCCTTATAAAATTGGTAGGGGGGATGTTTATACAGCATATGTAAGTCCCGTGTAGCTCAGTTGGTTGAGCATGGCGTTTGCAACGCCAGGGTTGTGGGTTCGATTCCCACGGGGGGCCAGTATGAAAATGTATGCACTCACTAACTGTAAGTCGCTCTGGATAAGAGCGTCTGCTAAATGACTAAAATGTAAATATGTATATGTATAGTATATATGTATGGTGTGTAAGTAGATGCTTGTGTGTGGGTGTGCAACGTAGGTAGCACAACTTAGTTACATATCAGAAGAATAAATAATGTACATAGACACTATAAAGAGAAAAAAATATCATTAGGGGTTTCATTTCTCAAAGTTACGCTTAATGATTTTTTTTTTTAAAAGATGGAAAACTATGATTTACTGTATATGGTCCCTTTTAGATGCTGTTGCTCTTTCCTAACTTTGTAAAATACAGTGTATAGTTGATTCTTAATGTTTGTTGGCGTCTACTTCAATGGCTTCTATTTGAACTGGTCGTTTGTTATTGCTCTGAACAATGTAGATAGTTCATTTGATTTGCATTTAGGGGTATACACACATTTAAAAACATGTTACTTAAATCTGTAATTTTTTATCATTGTTATGTAAGTATCCTTATAACGTTTGTAAAAATAAAAACTTAATGTGAAGTTGTGTGGTGGTTTTTCTCCTTGTGGTTTTTCTGCTTTTAGGGATGCCAGACTTTCGTATTTCTCGTACAGAAGTTAACTCGCCTTAATCAAATGTATTCGTCACATACACAGTTTACAGCAGGTATAAAGACATGAGGCTTTTTGCTTGTGTAAATATTACTGATTGTGCCTTTTAAATAGTGACGTAGATGACTGAGGACACTGATTGGCCACGCGAGATGTCAATCAAACTGGCAGTTTTCTTTTTGCCAACCAACAGCAGCTAGCGCTACAGCGGTCGACACAGTTTATTATGACCAGGTTATGACAGTTAGTAAGGTGATACTAACTGTCTATATAGTGATTGAAGACTGAAAATGATGACTGTTTTGCACTTGTACGAGTGATTTCACGTCTTGCTAAGTAACGGTTCGCGGCGAGCAACTGCTACAACTGTAACTGTCCTGAACTGGTTTTCACTACTGTTGCCTAGGTCGTTAGTGTTGTGCGTGGCTGTCCTGTTCGATTGGACCATGGTGGAGGTATTTGTTGGGAAAACTCTGCTCAACAAAGAAGGGGATCTTATTGATCCAGAAGAAACTCTCAGGAATAAAGTAGTAGGAATATATTTTTCTGCCGGCTGGTGCCCGCCTTGTCGAGATTTCACCCCTATTCTATGCGATTTTTACACGGAACTTGTCGAGGAGAGCGAGCCACCTGCACAGTTCGAAATAGTTTTCATATCTTCTGACAAGTCAAGTGATGATATGGTGGAATATTATCATGACATGCACGGGGACTGGCTGGCCCTGCCTTGGACGGATCAATACAAACAGTAAATTCTTAGGACTTGTTCTTTCATGTAGCCTATTCCTATTAGAGGTATTGTAAATAGCCTAGTGACACAAACATTTCTACATAAACATTATGGTTGAACTGATCGTATATGCTTTCCCCATTGTTTGTATCCTATCCCATAGCACAGTAGGCTAACTGTAGGCCACAGGCTTTTTAAGAGGTTTATGGGTCACCCTTTGAGGGATTAGGTTTAAAAATAGGGCAAGGTCTCTACATGCCTGATTAGACTAGTGATTGGAACTCTGCAAGGCTAGCCTGCTGTATGCTCTGACACATTGGGACCTGTATTTTGTGTTGTAGAACAGTGGTTCCCAACCTTTTTCGGTTACTGTACGACCAACTGAATTTTGCTCTGCCCGGAGGAGCCCTGAAGTACCCCCTCATGTGCATTTTACCAGTAGGCCTATGGTCTCATGATTATTCTCAAGTACCCCCTGTGGATAGGCCAAGTACCCCCAGGGGTTGGGAACCACTATTGTAGAACATGTGTTCTGATATTGTTATTCTCACCCATTTTATTGATAATTGGCCTATCAATTATGAGAAATGTGTGTAGCTACCCTGCACCATCCCTCCAATAATTGGTTTCTGTGAATGTGTTATTTTTGCCTGGTATGAGCCATGTAGTGATAAAGTCCTGATTGGGCCCTGTGCTGTTCCACTTTCCCTTCACAGTGATCTAAAGAAGAGGTACAATATCACAGCAGTCCCCAAGCTGGTTATTGTGAAGGAGAATGGAGACGTGATCACAGACAAAGGCAGGAAACAGATCCGGGACCAGGGCCTGGCCTGCTTCAGGAGCTGGCTCGAGGTGGCCGAAGTCTTCCAGAACTTTAAAGCTTCCTAGACATTCTACATTCTAGAGCATTCTACATTCTAGAGCACCTTCCTGCTCCTAACCCATAACGACTGTTCTTATCTAGCTGTCTATTTGAAAGTTCTGCACTACAGCGCAATACTGTCTATATTCTAAACTTCTGCACTACAATGACAATATGGCTTTTTTTCTAAATAAGATTTATAATACCAGCTACAATAGAAACAATGAATAGACATGAATGGCTTATATTTTCAGAATACATATTTTGAGGCATTTGGCTATTTTTTATATTTTGTTTTATATGACTTAAAATGCACAGTAATGATTAAATCCTTTGCTGTCTGTTTACAGTCTGATAGTTATTGTGAAGTCTTGTGTTATGTTGTTATGTTATGGAGCAATCAAGTCACTGCCATTCCCCAGTGTGCCATTAGTATGCTACAAGGAAAGCCCATAGGATAGCTAATTCACCATAGCTAATTCACCACTCCTCATTGCCTTTGCACCTCTTTGCATTTAATCACAATAATTTTGTTTTCCTTGTAAATTGGCACACTCTTTGACTTTAATTATGATAGTCAACAGTCAGCACACATCCAAGCCTGTCTCTATAGATTTTATAGTTTTTTTAGGTTACATAAGGGCCTTGTTGTAGTTATATTAAGAGAAGGCTCCAGATATGTTATTATAACAAATCATGTTGATGTCAATGAATTGAATAATGTCCACTTGATGGCTGTAAAAACTAACAAGATAATGCTAATGCCTTTCCACTTTATTCCAGTGAAATCCTTTATACCACATGATGTCGCCATAGACTCACTTATGAGGCTACATCCTCAGGCATATATTGAATGCTACAGCACTACTCTCTCTCTCCCTCCCTTCCGCCCCCATAGAGTTTATGTTTTTCCACCTATTATCTTTTGTGAGAAAGCATTTGATGTAAACAATGTATTTTTAAGAATATTTTGAGAGAGTTGCTATTGCAGTATGTCAAACAGGGAAACTATAGTTTGAGGGGGATTTGACCAAATGCTAAACTGAACTTGATCCTTTGAATTAAAAGAGGCTTGGCAAATTAGAGGAATTTTGTGTTAAACAAACCTCTGAAATGCCATAGGCATAGAGCTTGCTCAGTCAGCTCCCCCCTTCCCATTACATTATAGTCTCTGACTGAAATACTGCCTACACAGTGCTGACTTGGCCTTTCAGTCCTCTGGTTAATTCACTTATGCAATTATGGTGAATTATTTAGAATCTGTTGAAGAAACTTACTCAGCTGAAGTGCCTTTAGGTCAGCGTCTTGACCATAAAAATGTATATTTGGGTTTTTATGAAAGCTGTTGTTGTCAAGGTGACAAAGGGACAGATGATCAGAGATACCTTTAAGACACCTTGTTCACTGGTCCAACATCTGTCCTATTGAGAGAGCTGCCACCAATTTAGCAATTTTGAACCAGCAACCCTATAACTACAGGGCAAGCGCACACCTGTGCCCAGTGTGCCATTAAGGTCTAGACCTCTTGGCGGAGGCCCTAATTTGCTCATATAGGCTACAGCGAGGCTACACCGAGGCTATAGGCTACCATGAGGTAGGTAGGCCTATGAGGCGAAGCCACTCCAATGCACTTGCTGACAAATCTCACAATATTTTTTCCCAGCTCTTCTTGGTGATGCAACCATTATATAACACTTTGCCGAGAGCAAACTAGTCCCGAGAGCAACAAATACAAACGTAGGCTATTTGACCATTTTGACTTTTAGCTCTGCTTGAATGAATGGCACACGATCACACAACATTTGTGCTGTTCTCAGGACCTGCTTGAGCCAGACTTCCCAAGTACCAAAAATGAACTGTCTGACCTCAGCCACTGCTCTGAGACCTGTTCTCAGTGTTGCTTTGAGACACAGCTGGAGGGAATGTGTGTGTAATGAGTGCAGCCGTGATGAATAAACCACTGTACCGTGGACTGGCGGCTGGCTGTGGTTTTCATACCACTGCGCAGCTCTGCTTCTAAATCGCATTGTCAACAGAACACGGTTGCAACAAGAGGACCTCAGTAGCCTAAAACCCAACTCAAAATACCACCGACGGCCGGTTCCCTTTTCACAACTGATTTCAACTAAATATTATTAAGTAATTAGTTCCACAGCCTTTTTATAGTTTAGTCAACTTTTTGTCATTGAACTTAAAACATTTAGTTGGCCCAATTTGGCTAATTATTTTGGCATCGTACGTAAAAACAAAAGTTACACACACAGTACTTTTAACAGACAATGTTTTCAACTGACATATTTGAAACACATGATTACATTGTGCATGTTCATTTATACAGCAATTAGTATTCAACATGTCCTCACGTGGGATTTGAACTCACAACCTCTTGGTTCACAGGATTCCAATCTTCCTGCTAACAGGTCCTGATAAATACATCTCTGCTCTGTCAAACATACAGTCAAGAAAAACTATTTTATTTATCATAGAGATTAAAGAGTAACATTAAAACAGAGTAATATGCAACATTAGAAAATTATACAGAAAACCCTAAAATTGCTTAAATAAGTCAATCAAATCAATGATGAGAGAATAACTGTACTTTTAACAGAGCTGAGATTTATTTTGAAGTGCAAAGTAGCAATACAGGTGAAATCAGTAATTGCCATGGACATGGTGGCGTAGCAGGAAGATCAGAATGCCATGAACCAAGAGGTTGCGCATTCAAATCCCAGGTGAGACATGCGGAATAATAATTAGCCTATAAATGAACATGCACAATGTAATCATGTATGTTAATGTGTGTCAAACATGTACGTTGAAAATATTGTATTCTAAAAGCACTGTGTGTGTAACTAGTTCCACTGCCTTTTTTTAAAGGTAAGATGCCAAAATAATAATTTATTGTTATGTGAGACAAATTGAGCAAACTTATTTTAAGTTGATTTCATTTTTGCCTGTTTTCTCATGTTGGAGCTAAGTTTTGGACCAACTAAAATGTTTTAGTTCAGGTAACACTTTGACCAAAAAGTTGAGTAAACTTAAAAAAGGATTTGTGGAACCAGTTACTTAATAATACATAGTTGAAACTAGAATAACGGTCCTGCAGTTCAAATTGAAATAGGATATCAATCGGGGTCTAACATTTATTTCCCCCTTCATATTAGCCAATAATTGTACATTTGATATTTCAACACCAAAGTTGTAGGCCTACTTGTTCTTACTAGACCAAAGGACAGAACTGTGCAGCGCTTTTTACGCATGCTGTGCATCTCCCCGATTTTTTCATTTGGACTGTTAGTATATCTCAGAACCAGACAAGACCAAATAATATAAGCTACAGCACAACTGAAGTTGGGTATAGACGAATCCAGATCCACATGTCTCACTTAAATTTTGAGATTCAGTCGAATAAGACTAAGCTACTTTCTTGCTGGCATAGGACTATTTATGAAAGCCAGCAGTGTTTCTTGTGCTATAAGGGCATGCTGAATCAGGTAACAACACATCCTTTATGTGGGTGTCGAGGAGAGGCGGAGAAACCACCGGGGCGGGCTGGGGCTCGCAGGATCCTCTTCCTGTGAGAGTAAGTACACACATGCTCTTTATTCACCGCACTTTTTACGCTCGTGCTTACGGTCCAGAGCTTGAAGACCGGGGTACCGCACCGAGAGCCATCCACTGGAGTAAGGATAAATGGTTGAATGAAAGGTATGGAGAAAGCATGATGATTGTTATCGTCTCGCTGTGTATCTAATGTTCGAGTGTCATGCTGTGGGTAAATAGGAGAAGCCTTGCCTGTGTTCGATATTGTTTGATTTAACGGTTGATGCGGGCACATGTTGCCATGTAAACACAAAATGAACTGTCTGTTCACATCAGGGAAGTTTAGAGTCTCTTTCCTAGAGGGTGAGATGAGATTTGGTGATGGAAATTGTTTCACCATCAAGTACATAACGCCAAACGTATAGGCTAAGCCTTATGAAATAGAACATATATATACATTTTTTATCAAGAGTTCATATCATGCCATCTCCAATCAGTTAGGGCATTTCAATTCAATTTGTAAAATAATTCAGATTGTGAAATTATTTATGATTTATGACCATACAGAATACATATATGTGTGCATGTGTGTGTGAGAGAGAGAGAGAGTGAGAGAGAGAGAGATTTGGTTTGTCAATGTAAACATAGCTAAAAAAATACTTGAATCAGTTATAGAACCCATTGCCCTTTATGGTTGTGAGGTCTGGGGTCCGCTCACCAACCAAGAATTCACAAAATGGGACTCTGCATGCAGAATTCTGCAAAAAATAACCTCAGTGTATAACGTAAAACACCAAAACACCAAATAATGCATGCAGAGCAGAATTTGGCCGATACCCGCTAATTATCAAAATCCAGAAAAGAGCCGTTCAATTCTACAACCACCTAAAAGGAAGCGATTCCCAAAACTTCCATAACAAAGCCAGCACCTACAGAGAGATGAACCTGGAGAAGAGTCCCCTAAGCAAGCTGGTCCTGGGGCTCTGTTCACGAACACAACCAGACCCCGCAGAGCCCCAGGACAGCAACACAATTAGACTCAACCAAATCATGAGAAAACAAAAATATAATTACTTGACACATTGGAAAGAATTAACAAAAAAATGGAGCAAACTAGAATGCTATTTGGCCCTAAACAGAGAGTACACAGTAGCAGAATACCTGACCACTGTGACTGACCCAAACTTAAGGAAAGCTTTGACTATGTACAGACTCAGTGAGCATAGCCTTGCTATTGAGAAAGGCCGCCATAGGCAGACCTGGCTCTCAAGAGAAGACAGGCTATGTGCACACTGCCCACAAAATGAGGTGGAAACTGAGCTGTACTTCCTAACCTCCTGCCAAATGTATGACCATATTAGAGACACATATTTCCCTCAGATTACACAGATCAACAAAGAATTCGAAAACAAACCCAATTTTGATAAACTCCCATATCTATTGGGTGAAATACCACAGTGTGCCATCACAGCAGCAAGATTTG